GTCCTCGCAAGTCCCAAGCCGAGCCCCTCACAACGGCTGAACCGTGGCCTCTCGGGAAGTCCTCGGAACTCCTCGGAACTTCTCGGAAGTCCTCGGAAGTCCTCGCAAGTCCCAAGCCGAGTCCCTCGCAACAGCTGAACCGTGTCCTTTCGGGAAGTCTTCGGAACTTCTCGGAAGTCCTCGAAGTCCTCGGAAGTCCTCGCAAGTCCCGAGCCGGGTCCTTGGCAATAGCTGAACCAGGTCCTCTCGGGAAGTCCTCGGAAGTCCTCGAAGTCCTCGGAAGTCCTCGCAAGTCCCGAGCCGGGTCCTTGGCAGCAGCTGAACCAGGTCCTCTCGGAGTTCTCGGAAGTCCTCGGAAGTCCTCGAAAGTCTCAAGCCGTGTCAATGATAAGCATTCTAGGACACTGGATTCGTGATTGTTCACATCCTTCGAGGACCTCCGAGGAGTTCCGAGGACTTCCCGACAGGACACGGCTCAGCTTTATGTAATCTCTGTAAGGGGCACAGCTTGGGCCTTGCGAGGACTTCCGAGGACTTTCGAAGACTTCCGAGGACTTCCCGAAAGGACACGGTTCAGCTGTTGCCAAGGGCACGGCTTGGGACTTCCGAGGACTTCCGAGGAGTTCCGAGAACTTGCGAGGACTCCGCTACAGGACACGGCTCGGCACTTGCGAGGACTTCCGAGAACTTGCGAGGACTTCCCGAGAGGACCTGGTTCAGCTATTGCCAAGGACCCGGCTCGACTTGCGAGGACTTCCGAACACGGTTCAGCTGTTGCGAGGGACTCGGCTTGGGACTTGCGAGGACTTCCGAGAAGTTCCGAGGAGTTCCGAGGACTTCCCGAGAAAGCCACGGTTCAGCTGTTGTGAGGGGCTCGGCTTGGGACTTGCGAGGACTTCCGAGGAGTTCCGTGGACTTCCGAGCACTTCTCGACAAGAGAATTCCGAGGATTTGCGAGGAGTTCCGAGCAGTTCCCAGGACTTCCCCGAGAGATTTGAGGGGTTGCGAGGGCTCTCATCAGGCTTGACTTGCGAGGACTTCCGCACGCGGTGGGAGGAGGGGTGGGGTGGGGTGGGGTGGG